TGTTGGTCAATAAAAATATTTAAATATGGCTAACTGAATTGTTAACTAGGAAAACAAACAGTCATACACAATGAGATGTCACTATACACCCACCATACCGATTAAAATTAAATAGACTGAAAATACCAAATGTTGACAAGCATATGGCACAATAAGAACCCTAACTCATGGCTTATGGGAGTGGAAACCGGTACAGCACATTTTTTATACCCTCTAAGGCTGTCCAATGACTCAGCAATTCCTCTCATAGGTATGGAACTCAGAAAAACCCTACCAAAAGTCCCAGGGTTTGAGAATCCACAAGAATGCTCTGGCAGCACTGTTTGGAATAACCTGAAACTGGAAATGCCCAGTACCAGTAGGATGAATGAATTGTGGGTTACTCATGCTGTGAAGTAGAACACAATTAAATGAACAAAGGAGAGTTAAACACCACAATACAAACTATTTTCGCAAATATAATGTTGAATGAAAGAAGCAAGTCATAAAAGAATGTGCTTTTTAGTCCATTTACATAAAGTTAAAAATGAATAAAATCAAACTATTTTATTTAGAGATATAAATAAAGGTGGTAAACTATAAAGAATTACAAACACATGATTATCATAATAATCCTGACCTGTTTGGCTCAGTGGATAAAGTGTTGGCCTGCAGAATGAAGGATCCCAGGTTCGATTCCAGTCAAGGGCATGTACCTTGGTTGTGGGCACATTCCCAGTAGGGGGTGTGCAGGAGGCAGCTGATCGATGTTTCTCTCTCATTGATGTTTCTAACTCTCCATCCCTCTCCTTCTCTGTAAAAAATTAATTAAAAATGTAGATTTTTTTAAAAAAAGAGTCAGGATAATAATTATCCCAGGCAAGATGGAGGAGTTGAATAGAGAAAGACAGATAGGAAAGGGAGTCTCTGGGTCTGAAAGTGTTTGATTTCTTCTTCTTCTTCTTCTTCTTCTTCTTCTTCTTCTTCTTCTTCTTCAGTGTTTCATTCATTTATTTATTTATTTATTTAATTTTTTAAAATTTTTTAAATTTTTTTTATTTTGAAGGAATATTTAATATTAACATTGTGAGTTATTATCTTTTGCATATCAAAGTTACACATTTCAAACAAATTGTCATTTATATTTACAGTATACAAATGCAAAGCACTAATTTCCCACTAAATCATCACTTCCTTAAAATGGTACATGTGATGTTATGAAATTAGCTATTAAGTATTCGAAATAGTGGAAGAGAGGTCCTTTCTTCAGTCTTTTTTTTAAAATATATTTTTTTGATTTTTTTGCCCCCCTCCCTCCCACACATGCCCTCCCTCCTCAGAGTTTTATGTCCATTGGTTGTACTTATGTGCATGTATAAAAGTCCTTCGGTTGATCTATTATCTCCCCCAGATCTTCCTCCCCTCCCCGCTGTAATTTGACAGTCTGCTTGTTGATATACTGTTTCTATATCTATCTTTTGGTTCATCAGTTTATAATGTTCTTTATTATCTACAAATGAGTGAAGTCATGTGGTGTTTTTCTTTCATTGACTGGCTTATTTCACTCAGCATGATGTTCTCCAATTCCATCCAGGTTGCTGCAAATGATGAGAATTCCTTCTTTTTTAGAGTGTTTCGTTTTTTGACCTGGGATACAATTACATGAGAGATATGAGAGATGGCTTTATTTACAATACTTTAAAACTGAACATATGTATTTTTAAATATTATGTAATGCATGTTACGTGTTATGGGTTGAATTGTGTACTCTCACCCCACCCCCCTCAAAAAGAAGGTATATGGAAGTCCTAATCCCTAATACTTCAGTAGGTGAAGATAGGATTGTTGCAGATGTAATTAGTTAAGACAAATAGGAGCAAGATGGGCCCCTATTGCAGTAGGACTTGTGTCCTTATAAGAGGACAGGCTTGTGAAGACAGAGACACAGAACACCATGTGAAGATGGAGGCACATCTTGGAGTGACATTGACAAGCCAACGAACACCAAGGATTCCTGGCATCGCCACAAGCTAGGAGAAGGCATGAGACAGATTCTCCCTTAAAGCCTTCAGAAGGAGCCAGAGAGAGTAAGCCCTGACCACACCTTAATTTCGAACTTCTAGTCTCCAGAACTATGAAATAAGCTACCTAGTGTGTGGTACTTTGTCACAACAGTTCTAGGACACTAATGCATTGTGTTTCTGCATTAACAATATATTTTAAAAAATTCCCCAAAATCTAGAATTAAAAAATAGTCAAATCATCCCATTTTACGTAGTCCCTGGAAATATAAAGCATTCAAAGACACAATCCAAATACTATAAAAATAAGGACCCTCTATGCAGACAGAGAAACTGCGTAGCCTGTCTAGTTGTACCAAGAGGCCAAGGATCAATTACAAATGTCCAAGTACATTTAAAAATAAAGAATGTGCTTTGTTCCAATTTGGCCTGTAAAATTTTCATCCTGACCCTTTGATTCCCTTCCTTACTGGAAACTCTCCAGCATTTCTGGTGACCCTAAAAAAGGCTTCTGGGAAGACATTCTTATTCATGGCTTTGCACTCCAGGGAAAAGAAAGACTGACCTAAAAGGAAACCTGACCCAGGACTTCTCTGGGGCAGAATACTGATGAACACAGATGGCTCAGTGCATGACAATCTTGGGTTATAATTCCGCTTTCTGCAAGTTGGGCTACTGACAATCTCAGAGTTTACAGAGCAATGTGCTCTCAGAAACCTCGGGGAGGAGGGGGCGTTGATTTTGTACAGAATCCTGAGCACACTTGTAGGAGTATTGCTTTTCTCAAATATGTTCCATATGATCGGAGAATGCCATAAAAAAGGGCACAGAGGAGCAATATTTGGAGAACAGATATTTTTAAATTAATAAACTGCAACTTGATTTCTATACTCATTTCAAGTTTTCAATATCAAGCATGAAATACAGAAAACTTTTCTAGAAAAATAACGAAGTGGAAAGAATAGAACTGTGGTAAGAGATTTTGAAGTCAGGCTGTCTGTTTGTTTTTTATTTTTTATTATTGATTAAGGTATTACAAATGTGTTCTTATCCCCCTCATTGTTACCCCATGTCTCCCAGTCTTAACCTCATCCTCACCCCCTGTTGTCTGCATCATTGCTTATGCCTATATGCATGCATATAAATCTTTTGGTTGACCAGGCTGTTTTCCAACCTCTTTATTCTTTTTTTTTTTAATATATTTTATTGATTTTTTACAGAGAGAAAGGGAGAGAGATAGAGAGCTAGAAACGCCGATGAGAGAGAAACATCGACCAGCTGCCTCCTGCACACCTCCCACCGGGGATGCGCCCGCAACCAATGCACATGCCCCTGACAGAAATCGAACCTGGGACCCCTTAGTCCGCAAACTGACGCTCTACCACTGAGCCAAACTGGCTTCGGCCAACCTCTTTACTTCTTAGCTTGGTATGGTTATTAGCCTCAGTACAAATTTCTTTAGTTATAAAATTAGGGTAAAAATTGTACCTATTGCCCTAACTGTTTGGCTCAGTAGATAGAGCATCAGGCTGCGGACTCAAGGGTCCCAAGTTCGATTCTGGTCAAGGGTATGTACCTTGGTTGTGGCACATCCCAGTAGGGGGTATGCAGGAGGCAGCTGACCGATGTTTCTCTCTCATCGATGTTTCTAACTCTCTATCCTTCTCCCTTCCTCTCTGTAAAAAAACAATAAAAAAAAGTATATTTTAAAATTGTACCTACTGCAAAGAAATACTAGGAAGATTCCATGAGGCGACATATGAAAAGCTTTTAGCTCCTACTGTTGCCCACATTAAGTGCTTAATAAATATTTGTTGCTGGCATAATAATAACAAATATCTCAAGATTTATACTTGAAGTAGCTATATGTATTTCCAGTAGAATCGATAATATAGTAGGCCCCCAAGAGTCATTTGGGTCACCCTTTAAATTAGGTAGAGAAGGAAAATTTCAGCTTCTCAAGTTGACCATTTTAGTTCTTAACATTTCCTATCAGAAAAATAAAACTCACATCAGTTTTCTGGCCTGTTTTACATAAGTGGGTTTAATTAAATAATTCCTAAGGAGTTTTCCAAGTACTAAAAATTTATTACTAACAGCCATTATCTTTCTTTTTCTTTAAAAAAATATTTTATTGACTTTAAGAGAGAGGAAGGGAGAGATATAGAAGCATCCATGAGAGAGAAACATCAGTCAGCTGCCTCCTGCATGCCCCCAACTGAGGACCAAACCGGAAACCCAGGCATGTGACTTGACTGGGAATCTCCCGGTGGCCTAGTTCTTAGGTGGATGTTCAATCACCAACCTTCACCACTGGACTTGTCTTTCTTTCAATGGGTATTTCCATTACTCTACTGGCTTCCACCTCTTTTGATGGAAAACGACCTTTAGGCTAGTTTGGAGGTCAAAGTATTTGTGGTAGTTGTTTCCCCCACCACTGTATTCCAAGGGAGCCTGGCAGCCTTGGGCAGCTCTGTTCTGTCTGTCAAACATGCCACTCAAGTTTGCCTGGACCAAACCTTCAGGCTTTTCTGCTTGGAAAGAAGAAAAACATGGTTTTGTGAAACATTCCAAGAAACTGGTGATTTTTAAAACCACTTGTATGAGCTTCAAAAATTGCGGTATAAAGTTTCAATGAGGTTTGCTATTTTACTGATAAAAAAAAAAAGTGATTAGTTATAGGTACCACTTTGTCTTTCCCAACCCACCTAAAAAGTAAGAACTAAAACTCAACAAACAGCCTGAAATCCTTTGCTCTCTACTCGCACCCCCCTCCCACCACCACCCTCACACCCCACCCTAGCGCACTTGCTGCTTGTCCAGCAGATGGCACTGTTGTGCCAAACGACAGGCTTCCATGGGGCCCAGAAAGAGAATGGGGACACCAGGGGTCATGGGTGGCAGTCAGAAGTGGAAAGGGAAAGTCCTGTTTCCTGAACCTCCTTGGGCATAAGCTCAATACAAGTTTAAATAATCGGCTTCCCCCATCTCCCTTCCCAGGGGCGAACGTGAACATGAAGACCAACAACCAGGACGAAGAGACCCCCTTGCACACAGCCGCCCACTTCGGCCTCTCGGAGCTGGTGGCCTTCTACGTGGAGCACGGCGCCGTGGTGGACAGCGTGAACGCCCACATGGAGACGCCGCTGGCCATCGCCACCTACTGGGCCCTCCGCTTCAAGGAGCAGGAGTACAGCCCGGAGCACCACCTCGTCTGCCGCATGCTGCTCGACTACCACGCGGAGGTCAACGCCAGGGACGACGACTTCAAGTCTCCGCTGCACAAGGCGGCCTGGAACTGCGACCACGTGCTCATGCACATGATGCTGGAAGCGGGCGCCGAGGCCAACCTCATGGACATCAACGGCTGCGCGGCCATCCAGTACGTGCTGAAGGTCACCTCCGTGCGGCCCGCCGCCCAGCCCGAGATCTGCTACCAGCTACTGCTGAACCATGGGGCTGCCCGAATATACCCTCCGCAGTTCCATAAGGTGAGGCTGTGTCTCTCCCTCCCCTACATCCCCCTCCCCTCCCGTTCCCCCCCAAGCTTGAGATCTTTGGGTTAATTACCTCTGATCCTCTACCTGGCCTTCCGTGTGCACGTGTCATGAGAGCAGGCAATGAACAGAAGAGGGGCAGGCCATCTCCCCTGTCTTGGGTGAACACCAGGGAACTGGCAGTAGCTTCCGGAGGGACTGAATTGAGAAAGATCAGAAGCCACTTGAAGTCTGCAGGAGAGGTGAATGGGCTCAGGCAGGCGTACACTTGCTCTCTCTCTTGAGAGGAATGTCTGATCCAAAGATGACTGAAACTGCTTGGGAATGAATTGGCGTGAATGGGCCACTCAACTTTGCATTTAGTGAAGGGTAATGTTTATTGAGTACTTATAGTTATATTTATTATATATGGTGAGTTGTATTTATTCAGCACCCTGTGATAAGCATTTTGCATTTTTAAATTTTAATTCTTATCACAACCCCTGTGAGAGGAACAATAATATGATCCTTACTCTATAAAGGAGGAAACAGAGGCACAGAGTAGTTAAGCAATTTGCCTGATCTCGGTAGTGCCAGGATTCAACCTTACATCCTTTGGCCTAGTGTCTATTCTTGCAATATCACACTGCATAGCCTTTATTTAAAAAATATATATATATTGATAATCTCAGATAGGCTAACAGGGGCCATATGTTAACAATGCTGATATGACTAAGACATAATACCTACTTTCAGGTAGCTTAGAATCTAGTGGGAGAGAGAAACACATAAAGAAAGAATTTTAATATGCCATGGTAAATGACCATAGAGCAATTAGGTTGATGACAGTAATTAACTTGGAAACCAAAATGCATTTCACTTTAAAATCAATCAAATAACACTATACCAAGGATCTCACTTGTTCTAAAAGAAAAATTAACAAGAAGCAGAGGCGTTTCAGGTTTAAAACAACTGAATAATGTAGGACCACAGAAAGCCAGTGGACAGTTTTATTAAGTTCACAGCCAAATTCTACTTCCTCCATTGGTCAAGTATCAGAAACTGATTTGAAGTTCTGCACTGTGAGGCTTAATTGGAAGAAAAGTTTCACTAAAGAATTTAAGGAGAGTGTTCCCAGTCATGGCAAACTCCACATGGACAACCCAGGGAGTGTTCAGCTGTAGATATGATGTCAGTGAATTTTGTAATCTGATAGGGATTTGTTTCTTGTCAATATTTCAATGGATAATGAAGTCATTTTCCCTTTAGAATTATATGTAATACTCATTAATGTTCTGGAACATAATATTTTTTTCATAGAAAATCTCAAATAATTATGATGAAAAGGAATAAGAAATAAAAATAATGTTATGATAATGTCCTTTGTTGAGTTCTCAATTGGCTTTTATAGATTTCATTTTATTTTTATAATAACCTCTGAGAAAGACATGGGCATTACCTTCATTTAAAAGATATAGCATTGAGATATTTTCCTAAAGTCACAGAGAGTAAGTGGTCAACTTTATTCATTTTATTTTAAGAAATATTTACTGAGTATCTACTATGTGCCAGGCATTGTTTTAGGAGCTAGAGATAAAGCAATAAACAATAGCAATAATTTAAAAAAGGCCTTCATAGAATATACTCTCTAAAGGGAATCAGAAAAACAAACAAACAAACAAACAAATATACTCTGATCTGTTTGGAGCTATGGAGAAAAATAAAGCAAGGTAAAGACAATAAAAGAATGACCAGACATCTCCACCTATGTGTTTACATATATGCTGTTTTACAAAGGTGATTAGAGAAAGTAAGGACATGGAGGAGCAAGCCATTTGACTACCTGAACTGGGGGAAGACCAGCCGAGGTATATATAATAGAAAAGCAGATGCAAAGATCCTGCAGTAGGAGAAAGCTAAGCATGTCTGAGGAAAAGCAGGAAGCCAGAGTGGCTGAAGTGGAGTGAGTAAGGAAGAAGAGAAGTCAGAGAGGTGTACATGAGGGTGGGTTACAGACCCTATTTATGGCCTCGTTAGGCCATGGTTATGTCCTTGGTTTTTCACTCTGAAGGAGAGAGGAAGCCACTGAAGAATTTTGAGCTGGGAAGCTGGGAAGCATAGTCTGACTTATATTCCATAAGGACCCTTTGGACAGCCTGTTGGAGAATAACTGGGGTGGAGTGAGGGGGGAGGCAAAGGTATTGCAATAATCTAGATAAGAGATGAGGGTGGCTTAGCCCCACAGTGGAAATGGTGAATGTGCTAACATTCACAGTGGAAATGGTGAATGTGCTAATGGTGAATGGTCAGATTCAGGACAGGTTTTGAAGAGGGGGTCAATGAGCTTTGCTCGTTGATTATCTGTGGGCCTTCAGGAATAGAGAGGAGTCAAGGATAACTTCAGGGATTTTGCCCAAGGAATAGAAAGAATCAAGGGGCCATTTCCTGAGATAGAAGCAAGGCAGGTGGAGCTGAATTTGAAGCGAGGATCAGGGTTCTGCTTTGCTTGAGATGCCTACTATTGATCCAGGTGGAGATGTCAGGTAGGCAGTTTGATGTAGGAATCTGATGTTCAGGGAAAGGTCACGCCCAGAGGTACAAACTTGGGAGTCTTCATCAGGACTACGGTATAGGAAGCCAGATGCAGTGAACAAATGATGGCTATATGTATTGTTATCACTAATGTCCGCTGAATAGTGGAATCAGTGCTCCCGGGTCTGGTTTACTCACAGGGGCCTTTCCAGCCAGGAGAGACAACATATGAGCCTGTCTAGAGACTAAACGCTGAGCTTTATTCTGAAACTCATGCTGGTTGATTGTGGATGAAAGAGGTCTCTGAGCAACTAAAAGACCTCTCCTCATTCTCCTTCAAGAGCCAGATTAGGGACAATGAGCCTTTAAACAGAGTTTCTGTCCTCCAGAAAGAAGTCTTGTGAATGTGAGGAAGGCCCCAGATCCTCTCCACAAAAGCAGTCCTCCGAGAGGGACCAACGAAAAGGATTAGGGGCAGCAGCTTAGTAAGCAGAGGCATGAGTTTTGGTTTGGCCATTTACTAGCTGTATGATTTCTGAACAAGTTCCTCAATCTTTTAGATTCCAATGTTCTCATCTGAAAAAGGAAGGTAAAATATCAACTTTTCAGGGTAATCTAAGGAGTATGTGAGTCCATTCTGGACAACATTGACCCTGGTAATGCTGCTCAACAAAATTGTTTCCTTTCCTCCTCTTCCCAAAGTGAACACTTGGTCCACCGAAAGAGTCTTCCCTTTAGTCCCGATGGCTCCACTAGCCTGTAAAATAGGCACACAGTTATGTGTGCCAAGGACATTTTATCCACCATTAGCACGTTCTTATTCAGTTCTGTTTTGCTCCGCTGAGTTCCTCTAGTTTGGCCATACGCTGAAGTGATTTAGGATCGAGTCGGCCACTGGTGGATGACTGGTATTATAAACATTCTGTCCTTACCCAACAGTAAGAGAGAACTGGCCCCTTTCCAAAGGAAAACTGAAGAAAAACTATATTCAAGTTACTGTTACTATGCAGATTCTCCGCAGTGATTTAGAACAGCTACTACCCAGCCCAACTTTCCAAAGAGAAAGTCATCTTTATGACAAGTAAATGAATGACTGACTCATTTATATAGAAGATGAAGTGATTTGTTGTTCTCTTGTGGATGGGGAATTCTGTTTCCTTATTTACAAGGAACAAGGTCAGAGAGCTGAAGATGCTGTCTTCCAAATACAAAGCACATTTGCAGAGGGTGTATTTCACCGAAAGCCAATGTATAAATTACGTAAGGTGGGGGAAAGAATTATATGGTCTGCAATTGCTTTCCAGGGTGCAAAAGGACATTTGATTTTTTCCCTCTCAGCATAATTCAAAAAGCAGCGACACCCCAGGGAGCCAAGATTGGGTTTTCTGGTAGGGCAGGAAAGACATTTTTCTACGGGAGGGAAAGGTATGTGAGGGTTTGGGGACGGAAGGATGATTTCTGCTGTTGATTTCTACTGTATACGATGCCCAGGGTACACGACGTCTCTTTAATTAGAAAGTACCTTTCTGCACACAAATATATTAATATAAAAGAGCAGAACTAGTTTAGAATTTTTTTCCTGAAGTGACTTAAGAGGTACCACTTGCCTTGGAAGGATGACAGGAGATTTATCTTGAATCTATTCTATAATCTATGTTTTTAGGTATAGAATGATGAAGCAAAAAGTATCTAAAAGGTCTCTCCAGTTGCCACCACTGAAGGAAGAGACTTTTTGACCAATTGTTCTCCCATGAAGGATGACTAGAGACACACAAAAGGTGCAGTTCGTGGGGCAGCTTCTGTTTCTCAGGAAAAAAAGAAACAAAACAGCAGAAGCTTCTTGCTTCTAGGTCCAAACCAGTTCTTCCTCATGTGGAGGTCAAGGTTCCCAGGAGTCGACATCTAGTGATGATTTAGAGTTTGCTGTCTCGTGAGGGACTTTTGTGTTGCTGTTATTGCTTTGTGCAATAATTACTGAGGCCTGAAGAAGGTGTGCCTGCCAGCTGTCTTAGTCCTATAAGAAGCCCAACCTGCCAGTGAAGATGGCTGGAAGGTTGTCAGGCTAAAGGAGCCTTTCCCGCCGCAGACCCTGTCTTTCTGTTAGCAGAAAACCTAGCCATCCGTGTCAGCAAAACCTAATGTGGGAGCTTTGGAGTCTGTGCATCTAAAGACTGAAGGTTAAGAACTATTTGGTTTATTTTTTTTTTACTTTAATGAAAAGTGAGAAATTATCTCCCTGTGATAGATGGGAGTAGGACAGGTGCAAATTGAAGCTCCAAATGTGTGAAGTGAGGCTCCTGACCTGTGAATGAAGTCCCTTCCTGTGTCCATGACTTAATCTGAACACTTTCTGAATAGGGACTGGGAAGAGGGTTGCCAGACAAAAAACAGGATGCTCAGTTAATCTGAATTTCAGATAAAGTCTAAGTAATTTTTAATATAAATGTGGACTGTGCAACATTTGGGATATACTTATACTAAAAATTCTTTGTTGTCTACCTGAAATTCAAATTTAATTGGACAGCCTTTATTATTTTTTTAAAATATATTTTTTATTGATTTCAGAGAGGAAAGGAGAGGGAGAGAGAGATAGAAACATCAATGATAAAAGAGAATCATTGATCAGCTATCTTCTGCACGTCCCCCACTGCGGATCGAGCCCACAACCCAGGCATATGTCCTTGACTGAATCAAAACCGCCACACTTCAGTCTACAGGCCTACACTCTATCCATTGAGCTGAGACTGGTAGAGCCTTTGTTATTTTTATTTGCTAAATCTGGAAACCCTCATTGAGAAGTAGGTAATACGTTGTAAAAGGAGAGTAACTTTCATCCACATCTGTTCTGTGTCCTCAGTGTTGGCAAGAAGGGAGAGGTAAGGAAATCCTAAGGACAAAGTACTGCGTTGGGGTGTGGGCACTCTGTCTTTAAATATATCCAGTGTGGCTTTCGTGAAGAATGTGTGTGGCCTGGGAAACTGATGCAGAGCCTAGAGCTCAGTTTTCTGAGTGGACAATTAAGCCGTGTACAGAGCCTCATTATAAACTTTCTGACTTCTTCATGCTTTTTTGTTTTCATAATTCCAGTACAAGTAGATGCTTGACTCAGGCCTTGGATTAATTTCAGCTATCATCCCTGTACTGGTAACTCTTAAATTTAAATCTTTATTTTGGGTTACTCAAGTACTTACCAACATACTTCTCACCATGGCTCATCCTTCCAGAAGGGCTGCATCTGGAGGTCTTTAGAGAACAATGTATATGGAGGTCCGGATGGATGCTATTTTTATATCCCTAGCAACATCTTTGCAGTCACAAAGGTCCAACCTAAAATCATTGTGGAAGACAATCTCTTTTGTTTTAAAATGTCTCTACAATGGGATTTGTGTCCTCAACCATTTATTTCACCAGTCATTACCTAAGGATATTTATTTATTTATTTATTTATTTATTTATTTATTTTTACCTAAGGATTAAAATAAGATCATGAGAATGTACTTAAAAGAGCACTAAACTCAGATGAAGGAAACACAAGACTATATTTCCTCTTAATTTGGACCTCTCTGGGTTTCAATTCCCTTATCTCCAAATTAGGGGGATTGGATAATCTCTGGGATTCCTTGCAACCCTAACATTCTAATATGATACTATGATGGTAGTTTACAACTAGTGTTTGAAACAACTAGTCAGCCTCAAGTTTTCTCTGTCTCTTTTGCATAGAGCTACATATATGCAATCCTCATTTCAGCTACAGGGAAAAAAAAATCAGGCCCATTTGCCTGAATTTTTCCAAGATCAAGATCCTGGACAATTAATTACCTGCCTACCATGACAGCCATGTACCCAGATAGGAATCCTTTGAATTACACTTTCTTTAGACTCAGAAATACTGTCTCTTCAGAAGTCCCATAGCAATAGATCTCTGGATCAAGCCCACCTGCGTACCCCCTATGGGTTGATGATAGCGGATTATTCTCTCTGCAGAGAGCTTGATATGTTCAATAGAAAAATGAAATTGATGTGTAACTCATAATGAGAAAATGTAAAAGAGAAAGTCCATGGCAGAAGCCGTTTGCCTGTTGGCAAAGGAAATGAAGGTGACAAAATTAGGAACCATGAGTGCTTTTGCTGCTGCTGATGGGACAGAGATACAGGTTTCTTGTGGACCAGTTGTAGGTCACAGTGACCCAGCTGGGTCACTTTGAGATGAAAACAGGCCACACCCAAAGGATTTCCAGAGACAGGGCCATCCTGGCAGAAAGGAGCCAGAGGTTTTCTGGTGGCCACAGAAGCTGCTGGGAGGTGTGAATGCTGTAAGGGCAGGGCATGCACCTCAGCTCCCACCTTCTTTGTTAGAACTTCTTTTTTTCACTTACTTCAGGACGGTGAAGGAAATTAGTCTGATGTTATTAATCCTTCCATCCGCCATAGGGGCTGGCAGTGTGTGGATACTTAAAGTCATGAGCCTTTTCAAAAGCATCTCAGCATTCGAAGGAGCCCAACAGGTCAATACGTTCATAACATCTCTGTGAGTGGAATGGCTGGATCATATATGTGCATTAAACACACGGAACTCTGCCTCACCTGCAGGTGATCCAGGCTTGCCATTCCTGTCCCAAAGCAATCGAAGTGGTCGTCAATGCCTACGAACACATCAAGTGGAATGTGAAGTGGAAACGGGCCATCCCTGATGATGACTTGGAGGTAAAGAATCCATTCGCTTCCTCTGGTTTTCGCTGTAAAGTACTTCCAGACTGCAATGCAAGTACCGGAAAGGATCTGTCTTGCTATCAGAGACCCTGGAGAGCTGCCGTTATGTAGAAAGTCAGGCCTAAAAATCATCATCGTTGATTTCTTGGGATGGCAACAGGGGTGCTTTTCTGACTCTAACCTGCCTCCCCTTCCTTTTCAGAGGTACTGGGATTTTTACCACTCTCTCTTCACGGTGTGCAGCAACTCTCCAAGGACTCTCATGCATTTATCGAGATGCGCCATCCGAAGAACATTGCACAACAGATGCCACAGAGTAATTCCTCTGCTTTCCCTCCCATTGTTATTGAAAAAGTACTTGCTTTTAGAGCCAGAGGGAATCATTTATTAAGCCTTAGGAGACAGGGGTTCCCAATCCCAAATATTTAAGTGGACTCGCTGGGTAGACACCGTTTACATAAATAAAATGGTACTTGGGTTGATTATAACACTTCGGGGATTTCAAAAACACTTTACAAACACTATGTCATGTCATTGATCCTAGGGTTTCATGGTGAGGGGAGATAAAGAAGCAAAGCCAAGGCATTCTCAAAGGCAAGAATGTATCCAGAAGGTACAGACAGAACCATAATAACTAATAGGAATAAGTGCTCTTACTAGGTGCCTGATATATTTTTGTAAAATTTTCCTATATTATCTCATTTGACATGGGACCCAGAGTTTCCTACAACCCATCTCCCTTATCAGGGATAAGTTTACATTACTGTTCATTTGGCAAAATAGCAGGATTTGTGATCAGCCTCTTAATCCTGGTGCCTCTCCCCCATTTCCACTTAGCTGATATTACTAGTTGCTAGTTTTGCACACTCCTGTACCCACACCGGAACTCCTCACCTTATTCTTAGTGAAGAAAGCATATGAACATAGTCCAAATAGGAGACCTTTTAGTCACCTTAGAAATGAAAAACAAAGGGCAGTCCACTTAATAGTTAGCAATGGACATTTCAACACCCTCTCATTGAGCAGAGACTGGAGATGCAGAGATGAGCCGGAAACAAGGACTCCTGCCCTCCAGGATCTCACCATTTTAGCAGCGGATCCAGACATACAAGCAGGGAAAGTGCAAGGTCAAATGTCAGGGGCAAGAGTACAGGTGCTGACTCATTCGTAGTGCTTGCCTTCCAAAGTGTGGTTTTCTTTTAAGCATGAAGATAGAGTGAAGGGATTGTGTGATGTGGGGTGGAGGAGGGGGGGTTCTCCTGCTGCTGTGAGTGGAAATGTCATCTCTTTAAGTTTCTCCACCCATCTAGATATTGTTTTATTTCAGCATGATTTCCTGTTTAGTGTGAAGGGAAAGATTTAAGTTGATTACATTGTTCTTTTTATATAACAGACTTCATTTCAGAGCATTTTTGCTAGCAGGTCAGGAGTGCTTTGCTCGCAATGGCTGGCTATAGAAAGCAAAGAAAGAGACATTTTATGAAAATGATAAACATTTGAAAATGTTGGAGAGAGAAGTATGTTAGACAGGCTTGTTGTTAATGGTTTGCTGAGAGAGAAATATAAATGATGAACGTCTGGACCTCATGAGGCCAACTTGCTTCTTCTTTCTTTCTTTTTTTTTCCCTCTTGTTGATCCCTTAGTAATGCTTTTGAGATGTCAGAGCAGAAGTCATTAAGCACACACACATCAGTTTGCCAGTTGTGAGCAGGTTTCTTTCATTTGTGTGGTTCTCCGTCTTATTTAACTTTAGATGCTTGAGTTTTGAGAAGAGATGGTATTAAACCATCCACTGAGAATGTGTTTCTAAACTGGGGTTCTCATAGTCTAGGAGCCCTGTAGGAAAATCATAGCTTTTCAAAGTATCAGTTTTACTCAAAGATTTTGGAAGAAGTACTTGGTACTAAGACAAGACTTATAGTATGGAACAAAATGCCGAATTTGTCTGAACTGTTTATATAAAACACAATCCTTCAGAAGATAGTTTACAAACTTCAGAAGATAGTTCGTAGGTCACATGGCAGAACACTGAGTGCAGGCAGGTCCACGCTGTCCTCCGCCTTCAGGAATATTCTCGTGGACACTTTTGTGATGCACTGACGTGGGCGATAAAACAGACATGATGCTCCTTCCGTGAGAAAACGCTGTTTCTCAGTCTGCTTGCTTGTACTGAAACATCGGGTGTAACACACGACTACCTATTTCAAATCGTTTATCCATGGGTTTGAAGTTCTTTTTTCTCATCTTTGAACTTTTATTCGGAGGACTTAAATAAAGCTCTTCTGTTTCATCTTCACGAGTTGTTTATTTACGGAGAAGATATTTTCTTAACTGACTTTCCAGCAGTTTGCCCTGAAGAACTCTACCAGTTTGATGGTTTTCTCCGACATTTAGAAAGAAAAAAGAATCAGGAGATGCTCCTGGAAATAAATAGTCTTTTCAAAGGACAGAAAGGGTCAAATGCAAAAATGCAAGCTATTGTGATAGGAACAAGAGTGTTTTAATAACAATAAAGAAATTGTAGGGTCATTCTCTCCTGAGTTATCACCATCTCATTCCTCCTGGGTTTTTCATTTTCCTTCATTCTAACCATTCACACAACCCGGGGGCCATAGCAACAGAGGAAATTATATCCTCATGATGCTTTTGTTAGTTTCTATAAGCAGTCATTTAATGGCAAAAAAAAAAAAAAGTCTCTTTTTTGTAAGTTATATGTGAGAAAGCACTTTTGTTGGATATGAGATCACCTATCTGGTTTTCTCCCTTTCTCAGGATCTAGACACACTTGTGTTTAATTTTTTAACTACCCAGTGTTACATCGCTCCTTTGCCCTGCCCTCCTGAACCCAATGACTTCTAATAAAAAACACAGCAGTCAAAGCTGATTATAGAGGTAAGGGAAGTAGCAAGCCATTTGCAGTGGGCTAGCAATGTGGGGGAAAGCAACTGAGTCTCGTGTTTTTGTTACTCATCTGTTTGTGAAAACTTCATAAAGTTTTGAACTAGCACATGTTCAAAACTTAAAAAAAAAAGAATCTAATTAAAGGGACAAGTATCCAGGTGCTGAATCATTCATAGTGCTTGCCTTCCAAAGCTGTGTTTCTGACACTAAGTGTGGTTTTATTTGAAATCCTAGGAAGATTCTCAAACCTAATTCTTTCCAGAAGGCTGTTCTAAAATGGAATCATTTCCCCCCATTAGAAATAATATAAATTGAATTAATTCACTCCAGACCAACACAAAACACACACACAAATATTCACAGCACAATTTCCTGAGATGTTAACAACGCCAGGTTTAATAGTAAACTGACTCATATTCCCACATTCTTTCTTTCTTTTTCTTTTTTATATATTTTATTGATTTCTTACAGAGAGGAAGAGAGAGGGACAGAGAGTTAGAAACATCAATGACAGAGAATCATCGATCAGTTGCCTCTTGCACACCCCCTACTGGGTATGTGCCCACAACCAAGGTACATGCCCTTGACCAGAATCGAACCTGGGACCTTTCAATCCTCAGTCCGACGCTCTATCCACTGAGCCAAACCAGTTTCGGCACATTCTTTCTTTTGTCACACAGGTATCAGCATGGAAGTTTTGCTGGGATGAGGACCAAAGTTTTTATTTCACAGCTGAGACATTTTGCCATGAACAACTTGGTCAAGAATCGTTTGAGATGGGAGATGTTCAAAAAAGTTAGAGATGGGAGATGTTTGAGAACTGATTTTCTTGAATGTCTCCCAGTTGTTCTTCCCATAGAATAATAATCACAATAAACTGCATAATATTTATACAGTATTTTATAATTTTCAGAGCATCTCCATGATGTTTAATACAGAGAATAGCCTTTCCCAATACCCTTCACTCTCTGCCATGCAAAATATATATATATATATATATATATATATATATATATATATATATATATTTCTGAATATTTAGTTGTGAAGAAGATATCTAATCATAACATTAATTAACCCTTTTCTTCTCATCTAAGACACTCCAATCATATGGACTGATAGCCTCAAGCAAAAAAAAAAAAAAGGGAGGGATTATAATCTTGCATTTTTTGAAATATCAAAAGCTAAATAATATTTTTCATTGCACAAAAAAGGTATAAAAAAGAAATCTCTTACCCAGTACATTAGAGCAGCAATTTTCAACCCTTTTCACCTCATGGCTCACATAAACTAATTACTAAACTTCTGCACACACCAAAAAGGTATATTTTTTGCACATCTGACAAAAATATCAATAAAAGTATAATTTTGATTCATTCCCACCAGACAACTATGGTTGTGTTGGCTGTTGTCATTTTTTACTTGACGGTCTCAGGGAAACGAGGTCAGTGCCCTAGACTAAATAGTCAGATATTGCATGTTTTAAAAAATTATTGCAGTATACCAGTTTAAAATCACTGCCCTGGAGGATGAAAGAACAGAGGCAAAATTTGGAGTCCTAGGACCGTTTATAAGTCTCGCCAGGGCAGTGTTCAAGTGACAGATTGCTTACAGAAGCCCTGACATAATTGCAGTCCTGCAGGGGTCTGGGGACTCCCAACGCCCCTGAACTCAGAGAGACGATGACATGCCTCTTCTTGGATAGTCCATTAGGGAAAGCTTAGGCGGAAGCAAATTGTTTCTAAGAAACCTGTGGCTAGTTCTCCATGCAGTGTGGCACAGGGGGGACGTTACAGATTTTGCGATTCCACACTGTGAATTTCCATCCCGATTGTGCCACTTAATATCTATGTGAACTTGGGCCTGTGTCTTAACCCAAGTGTCCATCTCTACTTGAATAGTAATAATTAACAACCTGGTTTGCTAACTACATGAACGACATAAGCAAAGCATCTAAAGCAACTTCTTGTGTGTAGTTGAACCTCAGTAAATGCTCAGATGGCACCTCTGTCTGATATGTGAGGGTATTATGTAAACATCGAGAGTTTTCTAAGACATTCGTGGGCTTGGGACAGAGATGTGACTTGTGCTTGAGACTGAATTTGGACTACAATGACTTTCCTGTGGTCCAAACTCTCTTGAGGCAAACTGTGGCAAGCTGACTCAGCAGCAGCTATCTGCGCTGGGCAGTTTGGCCCGAAGGAGGCAGTGTAGGAGCACTTCCTGCCTGCCGTGAATCAGCTGGGGAAGGACTGGCTTCTCTCCTTTCTGAAATGCAGCCGGGAAGAAAATTAAACAGGAAAGCTCAAACAGGCAAAAAGGTATTCTGTGGGCTACTTTCACAATGTCCTTGTTTTGGTTTCAAACAACTCTGCTCTGCCCTTCATTGGGAAGAGATCTAGGAGTCTGGAAGAGATCTTAGAACCACAGGGTTTTATCCTGTGGTTACATAATTTGGAAGGAAAAAAAAAACACAACTCAGCTTTTTG